CATTGTTGAACTTATCTGAAATATACTGGGTAAAAGTGTTAGTCCAACAAGAGATATGTTGACATTAATTAGCAAAATCTCCCAGGGAGCACTTGTGCTTTCAATCTCCCCCTTTTTGGTAATTGATGACAACATACATCAAAACTTTAGATAGGATATATAGAGAATAACAAGTAAAGCTTTGGAAAGACATGTAACATGCATGGGCTCCCCCTACATGTATGCAATCATGTGAATATGGAATATAGAAGCATGTGAATGCATAATCATGACAGAGTAGGCAATGTGTTACATGTATCTTGGCTATATGCATCAGAGCAAAGAATCATGGGAAATGTACCTTCATGCTCATGAGTCCTTCTTGCAAACAGTATGTACATCAGCAAGAATTGCTCATGCACATGACTGTGATGCATATACTTACCTTGTGGTCTTGAGTTGGCTTAGGATGGAGTGAACCTGTGAAAACAAGGTTAGATAACACATATGCATCTACTAGCCAGAGTAAACGAGAAGAAACCACAAGAGTACCAAGACTGGGATGACATGTAGAGAGAGTGAGTACCAAGTAACACATTTGATATATACATGTCCCAAAAGGTAAAGATGTGCAAAGAATTTAAAAGTTTTTCTTCCCCTTATGTATTGCTCCCCCTGAATCTAGCATGGGATACTAAGAGAAGATAGGGAACAGAAAATCAGAGCTCAAGGAAATAACAGAGCTAATGCAAATAAGCACATATGAACATGTCTTTCCCCTCTAGAAGACATGTAACATCTCTCCTCTTGAACACCAAGCATATTAGATCCTTGAAGATTACTCTCTCCTTGAGTATTCTCTCCCCCTAGAGATAGGATTGAACTTTGATGTGATCTCTCTCTCCCCCTTTGACATCAATTTCCAAGAAGGGTTTGGTCCTTGAGACACAAAACAAAGCAGTAAGTAAAATGGGATGCTGGTAGAGGACAAGATTCATTGAGTGGAGCTGGTTTAAGAGAACACATGTACAAGTGGCAAGCTATTTTTCCTGTTGGAAATTGGTGACACCGAGATGTATGCTTCTGTAGCACCGAAAGGATTCGGTTGGACCGAGAATAATGGGCCGGTGTGACCGAGTTCATTACAGAGGAAACACTTGTCACCTCAGCTTACTTAGACAATTAAGATCTCACAAGGATTTGCAAGGAATCAACTGAATGATTTGCAATGAATTGGATGCAGGGAATGCAGAACAACCTAGAGACAATTAGGATGCATGGGGGAGTGGATCAACCCATGTGGATGCTAACTAAAAATAGGAAATTCTCAGTAAAATCCCTATATTCTTTTATGATTAATGATGGAGTGGGATTTCCACACAAGTTCTTGTGGAAAACGGAAGTACCATCAAAAATCAAAATGTTTCTTTGGCTTGTGACCAGGAGAAGCATTTTAACAAAAGATAAATTTCTTAGAAAAGGATGAAAAGGTGCAAAAGAATGTGTATACTGTGGGAAAGAAGAGACCATTGATCACCTATTTTTTGATTGCTCTGCAGCCAGATTGGTCTGGAGTCTAATCAAATGTGCTTTTGATCTTAGGCGATGCCCCACTAACCTTAATGATTTTCTGGGAGGGTAGTTAAAATCCTTTAAGAAACCAGAGAAAAAAAATGGTGTTAGCGGGGAGCGCAACTATTTTCTGGGCTCTATGAAAATGTAGAAATGATATAATCTTCAGATCAAAAAAGGTTCACGATCCAATGCAGGAGTGGTTGATTTTGGATTGTGGATTGTGGATTGGTCGATTTTGCAGAGTAAAGCCGGAGGAAAGACTAATGCAGCTGGGAGCAAAGCTAATCGAGCAGGTGGCAAGTGAGATATACAAGGCGACACATGGGTGGAGACTTGGTGTTCGTCGTCTGGAGGCCTGATCAGCGAGAAGACCGACCTTCCTACTCTCTGTGTGGGCATGTAATCTTAAACTTGCTTAAATAACTAGTTAGTTGATGACGGTTGTACACGATGCATTTCTATCCCCGTGTATCTGGTGCGGGGTAGTAGGTAGGCTTTGATCTAGATATCATCGCGGCCTGGTGCGATGTAAGACTTTTTTTTTAATCTGGATTCACTTTGCTTTTGGGTTTTATTAATGAAATCGGAGGGGAACCTCTTTTATTCAAAAAAAATCTATAATGGATTGCATGTGTTGCCTCAGTTGACTTTCTCAATGTTCGTATAATTAGAAATTGCTTATTGTCTATCAAAAAATAGACAAAAAGAAAAAGAAAAAATTTCGACCTACCGGATTCAAACCAGTAATTCATCTCAAGAGCAAAAATTAGAAATTGCTTATTGTTTTACAAAATGTAGACGAAAACAAAAATTCCGACCTACCGGATTCGAACCAGTGACCTAATGATTTATCTGCAACGACTACAGTCCTCCGCTCTACCAACTGAGCTAAGGTCGGTTTGTTGTTTTTCCAATTTTAAAATATTTATCAAGGAATCCCTCAACTCGTTTCAATACAAGTACGTCAGTATGTTCTGTTTTTCTCAAGAGCAAACAATTTTTGTTGTGGTTGCTCTTCTTTTTTTTTTTGAAAAATCACCGGAGGGGGAGCTCCCCACCTGAATATATTTCTCAATGCTTGTGACCCATCGTTGGAGTGGTTACAAGGTGAAATTACATAGGCACGTGTAATCGTGATAAGAGGTAGAACGCCATGAGGAGGCGGCCTGCTTGTGCTCTGTTTTCTTCATCCTGTGCGTCCAGAGCATGAGATCATCAATGATTCTCTTAAGGGTGAGGGTACTGCAATGATTTTGTTGCTTGAAGGTCATAGCATTTCTGGAATCCCAGATCTTCCATAGAATAATGAGGAGGATGGAGTGCCATATAGCCGCATCTGGCTGAGAGGGGAGACGGCAGTCCCATAGGCCGTCAATTGTGGTTGCTCTTCATTTTCATTGAGAAGGAAGTGTATACGAGAGCCTTACAGAACCCACCGCCATGGCACCAAAACAACAGCTACTGGTGCCATCCACCACCGCTAGTAAGCTACTCCTCCCTCAGACCAGCCTGTGACCCTCCTCCAGAGCAACTGAGCAAGCGAGACAACCACATCATTGATTCAGCGTCGCATGGCAATCCTCTGTTTTCACAATGCAGGCCAGAGGATCAAACCAACCATATGATTCAGCGACGAGTGACAAGGAATAATAATTCTTCAGTTCATTCATTGGTTCATATTGATTTACGTACACGGTAGTATAAGAAGAACTGCCCTTTAGCATAAGAACTGATGCAATGGGGTATATGAACGTTTTTTAGATCAAAGGAGCCTCCAGGCAAAATAGAGTATGTTTACAAGAGGAAACAAAAAGAGCCATACTAGAATGAAAAGAACCTTAACTAGGGAAGATGCAAACCCTCTCACACCCAGCATCTACCCACTACAGGAGCATCACATACTGCTCAACTCATCACAGAAACAGAAAGAGACTTCTCTTTTAACAGTGAAAGTCTCATCACATACTTAAACTTTCTTTCACAGAAACTGAAAGAGACTTCACTTGAAACGGAGCTAAAATTTTAAGCCAACAACTGTTCTATAAAATTCATAGTGAAACGGAGCTTCAAACGTTCCAAAGAAAAACAGTGTTTGGAGGTTCAGTTCATCCATAATGGATTGCATGTGTTGCCTCAGTTGACTTATATAGGTTGCAAAATCTCCTCTCCTTTCTCAATGTTCGTATAAAATGTGGGTTTCTGGCACTGATTCATCTCAAGAGCAAAAAATAGAAATTGCTTATTTTTTTCACAATATAGACGAAAAGAAAAAAAAATGTGTTGCCTCAGTTGACTTATATAGGTTGCAAAATCTCCTTTCCTTTCTCAATGTTCGTATAAAATGTG